CACTGTGATACAGGCCACAACCTCTCTTGATACATTTATGAAAACGGGACTATTTACGGAAGATGGTTGCGGTCTGTTCAGACTTCAATGTTTGTTCACATTCAAAAGCCTTTCTGAGTCATCACTGGGCTTCGTAATAACATCTTGCTTGTTGCAATATAAGCAAAAACACTTGTAGCTTCGACCCCCTTGGTATGGAAAGTTGGTATATCTATAAAACTAAAGATGTCACTAAATATGTATATAAAATGCGGTTTGAACTCCATGCACTCATCCTTACACCGCACAGTTCGCAAACGGTTTAACTTACTCGGTTTATCGGTTTATTTAGTTCACTTTATTTCGTATTGAAGTCTGTATGGTTCCTATTGCTACACGATTCTAAAATGACTCAGGCATTCATACGTTTTAAACCAGGCGCTATCTTTCGCTCCTGTATTGCCGCAGTTATGACAAATGTGGCTCAATCATGAATATGTTGTAATCAAGTTAAAAACCACAGACAAACGGCGCAGGTTTCCTTGTTTTTAAACGCATTTACCTATCAATATTCATCCACGCCATAGGTGACTGAAATATAGGCTGCGTCAATTCTCAAAAAGGCAGATTTTGTTTTGCACGTTAGGAGCATTAAAGCGGAATTAGAATATTAAACCATCAGCTGACATATTTGCCGCCGCCGTGTCGGAACCGTCTCAGTGAACAATAACAAGTTGGGGCACCGAGTCTCGAGTGAGGGCGACCTCACGTGACGTCTTGGCGCTCGGCGGTGAGTGGGGCCTATCATATACCTAAATTTTGGTGTTACATGCAACACGGAAATCTTCTGGCCAGAATTAAAAATTGGCGGTGGATCCTGAAGTCAATTGTGTAAGGCAGGGAAAAGCCGAAAAAGCGTTCAGCTGATGAGGTTGACCTAATTTACTATCCCAAATCTGATTGCTTTCCTGATCGTGGCCACTTGAATTTCGTGCGCGGATGTTGAAATTAAAAAATAATGATAATGAAGCATTTTGCGGATTTAAGTCATTTTTATGCGTGGGAATTACTAATTTAAGTCGTGAGCTGCCCTTTTGTGAAAAGTGTAGAATGGAGTGTGTTTCACACAAAAACAGCGTAGTGAATCTTTGTGAGCAATTACTGGTGACAGTCACTGTTACTGACTGTGCTGTATAAATTCCATAGTTAATATTATGCAATAAATATGCATGCCAGTATTGGGAAAATGTGCCTTAAACTTCATTTGGATGGTACTGTACTTTTAAAAGCTGTTGCATGCTGCAGTCATTTGTTCATTATTCAAATCCAGGTATTATCATTGGAAAAACTAGAATAATCATGACCTGGCTTAATATAAGGAACCATTGGCATAACAGACATGTAAGTTGCATACAGGATGCTATTTAGTGCAAAGTTAACATGATAGTAACAATGATATGCCTGGGTACCTAATCCATACATAGTGTTTTCTCTGTTCATATGCACTGGGGGCTCACAGGCATTGGGGAGGAGGGCTCAAGTCAGCATTTAGGATGCTTTAGGCCCCCAAGGGTATATAAAGTGATTCCCCTGGTGTGAGGCTAATGTGGGGCTGGATAGCTACTTGTTTCCTTGCTCAGCACATTTTCCAGTCTTGCATTATTTTTCCAAGTTCACCTGCTTGCTTTTCAGCACAATCTAGTTCATGGCTAGGTGACAAGTTTTATAGTCTGCCATTACTTAACCTATGCCAAGATCAATCATCAGGAATAGCACTTCCCATCATACCAGGACAAGGTGGATTTGATTTGTTTATGCACTTACTGTTGGACATCCTGAACTTATAAGATATCATTCAGTTTTGCACCTACCCTACTAACAATAAAGTTTTCTGTGCATGGTACCAATCCATAATACAAAAAGGTTAACATTTGCCGGCATGATTATTATTTTTCTGTATTTAACAGAAGTTCATTTAGTTCATTATCTCCTTCACTGAATAAGCATGATCAACCATAAGCTTGATGCTACAGGTCTAGCCTCCACTGTCTTGATCTGCTTCAGTTTTATGCTTTGCACTAACACCTGCTTCACTATCCTCACATTTGAATTATTGGATATTTAAGCACATGCTGTACCATTGTTACTAATTCTTACCAGCTTGCAAGCATTGTCCTCTGCATGTCATGAACTCTACTGCATGCTGTTCTCAGTCAGTGTTTTTTTCTTTTTTTCCATGATCACTCAACCTGTCCTTAGCACCTGGACACACTGGACACCTGGACATAACCTGGCATTGACCGTGAAGCTGAATAATTTTGGCATATTCTCATTATCCTTGTGTCCCCAAGCATCTTGTATATGAAGGGTACTTGTCCTTAAAATACATAGGTCAAGTGCAAATAAGCAACTCCTTATTCAAAGTATCTTCTTGCCATTGCATCAACACTCATTGGGAAAGTGGCAAAAAGGGCATTGGTTGGGCATAGGGTTTTTCTGCCAAGCATTTGGTTGTGTTAATGCAATGCTCATGCTATGTTTCAAGAGAACATTCATCTAAAAAATCAAGCAAGAACCCAGTTTTCATGGAATTACCCATTTCTGTTCATATATTTTTGGGAAATGTTGTTGGGTGCATTCCGCCATGTGGCTCATTTTCAGAGATAACGCTCAGTGTCCTTGAAGCAGAATGGTAGCTATTATTGAATCTACATCAGAAGATGAGTAATTAGTATGCTTATATTAATTATAAGGATGCAACAAAATGTACAGGATGCCAACAGGAACTTGTGGTATATGCTTTTCCATGTGTGTGTTTTGTTTGATATCATGATATCAGGCAGTATTGTCTGAGCTTTATCATTGTGTCCACTGCATTGCTACATCTGGCCACATCTTCATCACAATCCTGGGTGGTTTTCCAATCTAGCTTTAACAGGCAATGGTAACCATGCTGATATATAAGAAATATAGTAACTGTGCTGTTACATCTAACTGCAATTTTTTAAGTACAGGGGGTAAGTGTTTTTAGGGAAGTGGAGAGGGAATGTGGGGCCACCCTTGATTTCTATGTGGAAATAACCAAATTGAAAATTGTGCCAAAGCCACTTCTTCCCCTCCATCCAGACCAATGCTGAACAGGCTCTGTCATCCAAGAGTGAAGTATATCATCCAATCTATGAACATTATCAGCAGAGCATTTGTCTGTTCAAAGGGTGTCCAAAAATTTGGTCGTCGAAAAATTTATAATTTCACAAAAAAAAATTGTCACAAGAGTGACAGCTGTAAACTGCGTCTTAAGCTCAACGCATCCAAAACCGAACTCCTTTCCCTTGGCACCCTGCACAACACCCGCGGACTTTCCCCTGTCAGTGTACGGGTCGGTGGGGAGGCCATTCGGGAGAGCCTGGCCGTAAAGAGCCTTGTGTGTGGTATTTGACCGCCACCTGAGCTGGGACGCCCACGTCAGTGATGTAAGAAAGTGCGTCGACGACCTGATCGGTCTCCGCCACTTCAGGCATTTCCTCTCGCACTAGTGCTGCTGGCCATTGTGCAGGGTCTAGTCATCTCGTGCGTGAGATGCTGCAGTTGGGTTTATGGCCAGGGGTCTGGTGTTAACGAGGCTACACTACTCAAAGTAGTTAACTTCGCTACCAGAGTAGTTACTGGCCTCCGAAAGTATGACCACGTGTCTCGCGCGCGGGATGACCTGCGCTTTGTCACGCCTCGCCAGATATGTGGAATACCAACTGTTCGCTGCGCACAAAGTCCGTGGGGGAGGTGAACCCGAAGCCTTATCTGTTTGCTTCAAACATTCGCTGACGCGCGGACCAGTGACCGACCTACCCGCATGGACCATAACCTGCGCCCCCCGGCGGAGCGCACGGCGGCAGGACAGCGGTCCTTAGCATACCGTGCGGCGTGTCTCATTAGTTACCTGTGGATGTTCATCGACTGAATTCGACAAGATTTAATTATGCTGCCAGTAAGCAATAAGCATTTGTTGGGCGATGAGGTTGTCATGTGCTGTTTATGCGTGCATGCGTTTGTGTAATTTTATCCCCATCATTTTCTGTTGTTTTTTACATACTTTTTTTATCTCTCAGACTAATGACACGTAATAGCCATGTATGCATGTGGGGTGTCAGTTGATGTCAAATACAAATACAAGTGCGGGTCCAAAACTGGTGTGAGTTGCGAACGGTGGGAATATCGGTGCTCGCGTTCCCATCGCAATTTATAAGTCCCACAAAGCAACAAATATGGCAGGGGTCAGGGCTCACACAACAAGCACTGCTTAGCGTGAGCTCTGATCCCGGAAATCCATGTATTCAAAAGGTTCGGATCAAATCTTTTTTTTAAATGTGTAAGTGCACATAACTTCATGTTGCAAAAATAAATATTTTTAGTGTGCTCTATCAGGTCTTGTTTATGTTCCTGGCTCAACTTATTTTGAAAACGAGCTGCAGTGTATAAGCTGAACTTTAACAGATTTGCGACACGGCAGAATGATATCGGCTGTCATAAAAGAGTACCAAGGTGTTTGCCCCTGTCCCTCCAATTTCCAAATTGGACCTCGGAACTTTTTGGAATTTAATCGGCACCTCTAATTCACGCCACACATCTGACAGCACTTTGTACCTAAGATAATATTTCGGGCCCATCGTTATGCATACTGGTTGGTTCACACTGAACGACGTAGCAGGTTTGGACAGCAATAGACAGCGACATTGAGTGCTGTGCATTTGCGCTTGCATTTGGGTACCCAGTCACTTTGATTGAATCATCAGATGAAGCTGGCGTCTGTGTTATGCTGCTTAAAAGCTACCAAGCTGTTTCTTAACTACTGGTTTATCGTGTTATGGCGTTGCAGGTGACCATCAGGAAACATGGTGAAAGATTCTAGCGACAACACCAAGAATGAGCCATCAGTTGATGACACAATTCTGGACATCTGGGAACTGGTTAACAAGATCCTGCAGCATCAAACTTTGCTGGAAAGCTGGATGAAAGGTGGATTTTTAAATATTGCCAAAACCAGGTGTGTGGATGGTTCCGGTGCACCTCATCTGTATGTGCGTGGATTTTTAAGTTAATCACGTTTTGAAGTCTACTGCCGCCAAAGCTCTTTTGTGACTCTTGCATAGGGGTGAGGGGTTTAAGCAACTATGATTCATTAGGACGCGTTTTTTGTAAATGTGATTTATCAGAACACATTCTTTGTTAATTGGCAATTAAAGGTTTTAAGTCATCATTGCTCATTTGCGGACGTGATGTGATTTGTTGTCCCGTGATCGGGGAAAGAGGCTGCGCTTGTGATCCGGGCGCACTGGGTGCGAGTCCCAGAGCGTCTTGCTTGGCCCAACTAACAAAGAAAGGGTAGCTGGCAGCAGGGGTTAAACTGGCCATGGGTAGCTGTGCTGTGGCATTGTACGGTGGGTAAAACCTTCTGCAAACCCGACTGGCAAAAAGAAGGGAAGCAAAATTATATTATTGGAGCAATAAGTTTATCAGTGCGGGTCATGGGGCATACGTAACAAACCCTGCTAACAAGAGCTGTGAACCGAGAAGAATGAGGCAATCCATTTAAAACGTACTTTTATAAATCGACTTCTGGCGCTGACCTGGCCCCGATCGGCCGTGACCGCAGGTACGTGATGGGCCAGCACGCGGTGGGCGTGGAACAGTTGCCGGCCGGTGAGTGTCAGGTGAGCGCGCGACTCGTGGTGGAGCGGTGCCCGAGCGACGCCGACCACGCCGACGCCCAGGCGCCGCTGCCGGCCGCCTTCCGGCTGCGTGAGCAGCCCGCCGACGCTGGCGACGTGAGCGGCGGCGAGCCGCTGCGCTGGTTCTCGGCGCTGCCGCCAGGGGCGCTGCGCGACGCGCAGAAGCAGTTCCGCCGCGCGCTTGAGATCAGCTGTGACATCGCCACCATGAAGGTACACCTGGCAGCGCTGATGGCGCGGCTGGACGGCTGTGGGCCGACCGTGGCCGCCCTCGCCGACGCCGTCGAGTCCATCTCGGTCAGTTGAGCTCCAGCGGCGGCCTTGTAGGTGCGGTGCAGCCACGCAGCCAGACAGCGTGGGATACGGGTGGGTGCGGCGTCAGCAGGTGCGGGCTATTCGTCAGGCATCCTCGGCGACGTGGCACTGGGGTATTCCACTTTGCGCGTTGCTTCGAATTGTCTCGAGTGCTCCGTGGCCATGAACGGGTTGTGTAACTCGCCTTGCGCGAGTTTGGTGGCCGTTGTCGCGTCTCGCCAAACTGCGTGGGCCCATTGTATGAGCCATTCGTGGCACTGGCTGCTTGGTCCCAGTCCTCATCTCGCGCACGGTCCGTAACGGGACCTCTGTCCCAGTCTAGTGTTCAGGACTGGTTCCGGTTGCCGCCCCTGCCCTGGCGTCCTCGTCCCTGGCGTGGTCCCAATGCGAATGGTACTCGTCGCGAGGTCTGGTCTCCATCCTGTCCGCGGTGCTGGTGCGAGTTTGTGGTGTGGTGCCCACGGAGTGCTCGGCCCCCGGTGCCAGTGCTGGCCGCTGGTCTGGACCGGTCCTGGTCTATGACCCGGTCTGACTCGTGCCAGGCCCGGGTCACGGACTGCCAGCCAGTCCGGATCCGCGGGCAGGGTGATGCACCATGCAGCGCACACAGCGGCCAGGCCCAGACGCGCGTGACTCGTGCACCCCGTTGTAAATCGTGACGGTTCCAGCTGCGGCTACAGGGCTCCACAGCTGCGTGACTGGACGCGACGTTGGTCAGAATGGAGCGGCCTAGACCGGTGACGAGCCGCGCCTGGCACGACTCGCAGAGCTTCCGTCGCTTGCTGGGGGGTCGGAGTGGCTGTACATCGATTGCCTGGTGCCACAGGGCGTGTGGGTCTCTAACTGCGGGTTGTCTGGCGGCATTTGGGTAGGTTGTGCCGATGTAGCGTGGTGTTATTTAGCGCGCCCTCCTGCGGGGTGTGCCACGTGGAGGTACATCACCGTAACTGAGCGGAGTAGTCCTACTACGAATGTACTTCCGCTAGTGGGGTTCTTGCTCACGGCCGGGAATGATCAAGACGGCCTGAGGAAGGGTTCGGGGAGTGGTGACGCATCATCGATTGCGACAGGAATCGTTCCCATGGACGACTTCTGACCGGCACATGAATGTATATGTAAGCGTGCGTGTTACGTGTGTGTGCTGTGTCGACGTATCTTTCACACTTCTGTAACTAGGGACGCTTTTCAATACACTGACAAGGGGGATTTGTGCTCCGATCATAGGCGCTGCGGGTGCGCACGAGACACGGGGTGCTGGAACCGTCGTCTTCTCTGCTGCGTTACCTTACTTCTTAAGCCCGCAGAACCGCAGTTCTTGTGTTTGCTGCGTGCCGAGTGGCATGCTCTCTCGGTGTATGCCGTGTGTCAACGCTTCGGTCTGTAAATGCCACAATGTGATCACAGTAGCCAGCTTTCAGCAACAATCTGGACATCGTTTTGATGGGGCAGGCCAGGCGAGCTGTGAGGAAGACAATGACTGCTTCAGATTTTGAGTTGTTGACACGTGGCTTTCGGCTGTCAGTGGCGGAGAATATTGACGCAAACATGTACATTCATTGTTACTGTGGTGCCTTGAGGACCGGGATGGGAAGCGAACTGAGAATTTCCGCTCAAGCGTGAACAGTGCAAGTCCTATTTACTGTTCAAAGTCTGACTGGGGCATTTCCTTTCTACGAAACTTTTAACTTGTCCATTCCTCAAGCACGTGAAAAGTTGTGATGCCTGTACGAACCCCATGCGAGCTGTGATGCCACATTGGGGGTTTTGGTCATCCGCAAAAAGTAATCAGTAATGGCGTCCCGCTGAGGAATTGCTGGCCGTTTAGAAAATCTCTGCGTTAGTTCCGACTGACGACTTGATGCGAAGATGTTGCAATTTCCAAGCTGTGTCTGCGTTTGGCTTATGCCTCCCATTTCCTTTATATTCGTGTGCGTCATACACAACATTTGGTGGGAAATCCAAAAGCGAAATCATAGTGCGGGTAGTTAAGCACTCGCCAATGCATGGTGACGGGTCACCTACCACATGATGACCAGACATCTGGGTGCCTCCTATAGGGTAAGCGGAGGAAGGGGGTTATAATGGCGATCTGTGAAAGGGCAAATTGCTGCATCTGCGCAGCTATTTGCCATCCAAGGGATATCTTATCAGCTTCCATTCGGCGACAGAACACCTATTGTAGCGATGGAGATGGCGGTTCGGTGGCGATCGGTACATCGATTTCGTTCCTTGGAACTGCGTGGTGTAATTCTGGCAATTATCACCACGCCAGCACAAAATCTGAGCTGTCGTTAATGAGCTCATAAGCGAGTTGAGTGTGCTGTGGGGTTAAGTGCGTCAAGTTCCGTGAGTGAGATAAGTGGGTTCTTGGCGTCATGCTGTTCGGTGGTGACGAATGATCAGACCGCCGTCCGTTGAGAGGAGACAAATGGGCGTATCCTGAGCGCAGTGCTGTTTTTCTTTCCAATTTCCTGTGGAGCTAAATGACGCGTCAGGGAGGAGCAGAACGAGATGCGCGGCGTGAATGCTGATCCGTTGCCGTTATATAATCAGTATTTCCCTGAATCTATTAGCGGGATAATTATTCTCGTTCTCTGCAGGGTCACTGCTATCATATTCGTATACCTATCGTGCACATCACACATCCGTTTTCCGGACATTGAAAAGCATGAGGGGACATTCCACATCCCGCAGCCGGACAGATGCAAGACCAGAACCATTCAATTGAGACAAAGACGTGCAACTGTGGTCACATATCCGTTCTAGTGTCCGTCTGGCCACCAGCTGTTGAGCACATATTCGGCTTACGCGCATGCACTGTAATTAAACATGGAATTTTTAAGAAATCGACTGAAAATCATGCGTCTAGCAACTCTAAACAAAACGTGTACGGTTCTGCCACATGAGTTTCACCAAAATGCTCCTCAGATTATAAAAGGACAAACTTCTAGACGTTTAAGCCGTGCAAATTGGCAAATAAAACAAACCATCCTATATTCAAATAAAACAAATTATCGCAGCAATTGGCTATCATGCAATGATGCCCCCCCCCCTAGTCTTATATTATCACTTTCGTAATGTTCGCCCGCATGCCCAAGCGCGTTCACCGCGCTGTGCTGGAAGCAGATGGTCAACGAGAAATTATGTGTGCGGCGAGGCCATCAGGGATACATCGATGCATCAAATTTGTGTCCGAATCCGACCGGCGGGGCGCCGTTGGCGCATGCAAGCTTGCCCCAATCGTTTATCACGGAAAGCGTGGAATTTGCAAGTTGGCAAAAATTCACCGAAACGGGGGTCGAAACCGGGTTCGCACCTCGGCAATGGGATGTCACAACGAAACGTGATGACCACATTTCGACGTGGGAAAGGAAGTGAAATCGTGCCGGTGAAAGTGTGAGTCGATGTCACAGGCGTGCTCAGCGCTACTGATTACCGCTGCGACGAGCTTTGCAAACCCGAGAAGCGCAAAATGGCCACCGTAGTCTGCGCGCACCCCGAATCAACAACAAACCCGAGAAACGTGATTATACCCACATCTCTCGCGGACTGGTCGACCTGTCTCGGAACGGCCCCGGCTGCCGATCTTTGGTGCGCAGGATCTGAATCAGCTGGGGCGCGCGCGTAACTGTGTTAGTCGGATCCAGCTGCGTCAAGAACTGACAAACTTTTGAATCTAGCAATCTTGGGAAGTCAACGCACGCGGCCGGCTAACAAGCAGAGGTAGCCGAAATGACTGTGCTTATTGTACAAATCAGATGATTCAAAAAATGCCCACATGTACGTCTGGCCAGGTATGGCAACATCAGTCTGAGAAATCAGTGACCTGATACTGATAGATGTGATGGAAGCATTACGAAAACGCACACGTTTGTGATGAATACTGGTCCAAATGAGTGGGCTACACCCTTGAATTTATTATATTGAATATTTTATTATGTTATAAGATATCATATATTTATATTATATCATATTATATTATATATGTTAAATATATTCATGTCATATATTATATGTATGTTATGTATTATATTATATTAAATACTTTTTTGCCGTCCTTCGGTTTTGGGGCAGATATGGGCCAGAACGTGTTGAGATCGCTGCGAGAGTAGCGGTTTTTATGTGGTACTTTTACCTATAGCAGGCGTTTGCTTTCATGCATTTATCGCCTGCTGCCGATATCTTTTGGAAATCTTTAAAAACTCACCAAAACGGGCAGTCCGTGGATTTGCGCTTGAGAGCACTTGACCGGCTGCAAACATCAACCCATCGTTTTCTTTTACTATTATGTTTTTTCCTGTGTCAACATGTGTTGGTCTCGCTTAGCTGCAAACATCAGATGATCAATGTTTGGGCTAACCATCAACCCTCGTTCATGTTTGTTTTCTGGAAACCCTTATGGTAAATGTCTGGCACCTGGGAAGCGTAACCTCTAAACAATGGCACTTCCTGTTGATGAGAACGGCATGGAACCACGCCCAGTTGTTGCAGAGGTCTCAGTTTTTAGCGGGCATAACGGCCTTGCCGGGCCGCTCAGGGTGAGCACTTTCTCACTGCTCGAGTAAGAATCGCCTAGCCCACAGCCTTGCGCGCTATAAAAGCATGGCGCTCAGCGTAAATTACGACCACACGTTAATTGTCTAGAATTATGAAGATACGAATACATCAGAAGGAACTGATGCTCGAGAAGACGTTGAATCAGAAGAAGGGATGTTGTCTCCTGCTCAGGTACGGGAGCTCCAAACCTCAAATTTGGGCTTCATCCTCTCCCCCTCCCACCAGCTTTGAGAACAACGTGGGTCAAATCCAGAGACGAACCTGTTTTAGGGTATATTCTGTGTTTGTATCGTCATTTTTTCATCGCTCAGCATCTCTCCCCAAACTTGCCTTCCTAATCTACATCCTCGGTCAGAACAAATTGCGACGACACCCGACTAGACTTCCTGCAAAGGGGCTAGTGAGCCAAGTGAACCCCAGTGCACGGGGTAGCGCACACCGACAGCAAGCTGCGTGAGTTCACGCACGTCTGGCATGTCATTAATCGTCGCTGCCCAATGACACGAATGCACCCTGACCGCAAAAGCTGCTGCCCCTGGCTTTGCTCGCGGGTCCAGAGCTGCGCGAATGACAAAAGCCTGGTGGCGTGTGCACGAAAGGTTTTTGATGCGATCATTTGGCTGGCAAGACTCTTCTGGTTTCCCGAATCGGATTTAACGGGTCCGCCAAAAGTGCGTCTGCTGGTCATGTCAGCTCCTTACACGCTGTGCTCGGAATTGCATCAGCCGATGTGTTCGATGGGTATTTTGGTAGTACGAATTCCATTAATTGCTCCTGAGCTACAGCCTGACGCCCACACTGTTGTGCCAGAGATTCGTCTCGCCGTCTCTGCAGCGTGTGCCACCAGCTCTGAGCAGAGGCCAGGTCGCTCTGGCCGAGCTGTCAGCAGCCGTGCGAGGAATGCGCAGCTCTGGA